GTCTGGAACTGAACTTAAGATCAGAAGGGCAGCATTCCCCAAGGACCAAGTTCAGAGGGTCGGATGGCGGAGGGATGGACATGGAGAACACAGGGAGAGTGCGGGGCACCGGATGGCACAGGGAGGCGGCTGCAATGGAGGAGTCGAATGCGAAGCCAACGGTCTGTTCCCTGTGCCTTCACCTAACTCACAATAGAAAGTCAGAGAATAAACAGAAGTAAAGTGAAGGTGCAACTGAAAAAAAATTCTTTTAAACCGAAAACCCAAACCGGCCCCTGAAACCTTCTTTGACCGAAAACCAGGATCTAATTTCGTGAAGGACATCTGTTTTGGGCACTGGGCCCTCCTAGAGAATTAGCTAGGAGAGGTCGCTTTGAGGACAGCCATGTGAAACCCTGGATGGAAAGCTTAGGGGACAGTAATCCCTGTGCTGATGAGAGGGTGAGGATGTTTGCACAGCTCAGAGAAGGCAGCCAGCGGCACTGAGTAGGACACGTAGCATGGCTGCACTGGTGTACATTTTGCTGTGTATATTCTCAACAACAAAAATTATAATTAAAAATTTTAAATAGCAATTACCTGTAGATGAGTGGGATTTTAGGCTCCAACATTTATTTTTCATTTTTTAAATATATTTTTTGAATGTGTATACCTATCTTGAGGCCCGAGGAACTAGAGGGTGCCCAGCGAGCACTACTGAAGCTTTTGATCTGAGTGAGACACACTAGAAGGGTCCTGATAGGAAGGGAGAAGATATGGGCTTGAATTTAACATTCCCAGAGTCTAGAGGAAGAGGGGTTTTTTTGAGAATGAAGGGCACCCTGGTGGTATAGTGGGTATACTCTGGCCTGCCAACTGCAAGGTTAGAGGTTTGAAACCACAAGCCATTCCTTGGGAGCAAGGCGTGCTTTCTAATGCCATAAAGATTTACAGTCTTGGGCATCCACAGAGGTAGTTTCCTCTGCCCTGTAGCATCACTACCAGTCAGAATCAGCTCCATGGCAGAGTTTGGTCCAAGTTTTTGTTTTTTGAGACTGAAGGGGCTCCCAAGACTATTGCCCTGAGATACCTTTTAAACATATTATAAGAACTATCCTTTGTAGCTCAGAAGCAACAAAGCCCACATGGAACAACATATCAACCTGTGTGATCACGGGGTGTCGAACGGATCACT